TTGCAATGAGAGCCAATTAGCGAAACTTCTTGGGATATCGAATCGCATGACGACAAGAGCAGTAAGGTTTCGAAAAGGATCGAGAACCGCTACTACGATTCTTAATCGTTTTGATGGAGATGGCTCAGAACTTTCAGGACGAGTCCTCTTGAATAACACTTTTGGCTCCGTATTTAGCTTAGCCAAATAAGCAAATTGAAAAAAATAAAATAAAAAAGAATCGCTTAGAAGTTAACAAGCTAACAAGGAAAGGCAGGGTGCTTTAGAATAGTAATCGGAATTTGAGCTACGTTATGTTATATGACACTGTGATGAGCGTGATAACATGTGCGAGAGGGCCTCACAACTGGATCTCAAATGCTGAGCTCCGTCACCGATGTCATCAGCAGCCGATATCAACAGAAATTCGCAAACGTTAGACAATAAGGATCACCCACGCTGACACCCTAAAAACTAAAGGGTTATTTGTGCATCCTATTTTCAACAGTTTCCATACAATCAAACATCACATCAGTCAGTGATCATAAGCGTACCGACATGTGCTACGAAGGCATCGACTTCCCCCACTCACAGCGAGGTCCAGCAGTGATAAACGCGCGATGCCATTCGAAGCGAATGAGTGCGAACAAATGAGAATGTAGCAAGGTATGATGATAGCAGCAACTACACACATGTCGAATGATGCGCTGCATTCGGTTTTGTGTTTTGGTGCTGCTCTCGTTTGGGTGGGCGATGGGTGATGATGACGATGATGCCAATCCGGTAGACGGTTTTGTTTTACGGTGCTAGTCGACACGGCTTCCCTGCTCGCGAGAAGGGTGTTGGGTTGTTGTCTTTTTCTTTTTTTTGTGTGTGTGAAGTTACCCTCTATGCAAGCAAGAAGAGGGGAGCCTTGCAGCAGAAGAAGCAGTGCTATAAATGCAGCATAGCAGCAGCTATTTGTGTGTGGCCGGCAGCGGCGGGTGGGAGCTCCAGGCTCGAATAGACATGATGGTGTAGGACCACGACTGGAGGAACCGTCGTTGAGCTTGAGGGATTTTCGTCGTCGAACGTTGTGTTCGATTGGGTGGCATGGCAGCGCGGCGGTGGTGGGGGATTTGACGCGCAGCGAAGCAATAAGCGACTATGACGGCGACGTTCGAATGCGAAAATAAAGAGTGCACTCCGAGCGAAACACCGAGACCACTCCTCCTATCGAGCTTGATTGGTAGATGGAATGGCTATAACTTGTTTTTATTAAGGTCTCCGAAATCTCGCGGTGCTTTTATTTGGAGGGTGCTCGGTCAATTTGGTCGGTCGGCTTGTAGTGCCGGACTGGTGTTCGGTCGCATCGATGCAGATGTGGCTGCACAATGGGGGGAGTTTTTGAGATAGAGCGGGGAAATTCTAGCTGGTGGTTAAAAGGGATTAGTTTGTCAACTAAAATATTCACGATATCTAAGAAACAACCCAAGTATCATTTCAAGTTTTATCGAGTGTTTAAATCGTGTGGAAATCGTGATCTACAGAAGCCTTATAAAATCAAAACTTGGGAAGTAACCTTCATCCCTGACGGAGTTCTCATTTTCATTTAAAAATTTATTGATACTCAGTTGATAACTAGGCTGCATTTATTTATTAATTTCATTTCATTTTTCTTGCCAGTCACGCTTTTCGGATTTTGGTTTTCCGTTTTTTTTCCACAGCAAAGAACAGGGGTTCGCCCTGTCCATGATGTCATGTTACGTGTGAAGTTAAATCAGTTTTTTTTACGCACTTAAAAGTCTCAGACCATCACTTCTGGGATTGTGCGAAATCAATAGATATAAAGCATGGCCCACTTAGTAATGGAACAACACCATTTTGGTCAATTTTGGATTTGAATTGACGGATTTGAAAGCGGGTTTTACTCAAGGGCATACTATTTCTTATAGTTTAAGAAAAAATACGAAACGAATTATTCGTTGCGGTTTCAAAGGAATTCTCGAACTATGAAGCGGTGCAAAACGGTCTCGTCCACTGTTTTGGCGATTTTATCCCACCATTTTTTCATCTGAGGTCCCGTTATTATCACTGTACCTTTTACCTTCAGTTTCCTCTTCATAATTGCCCAGTCGTTTTCAATGGGCCAGAACTGGGGACAGTTGGGTGGATTGGGGGTTTTCGCTAAAAACTGGACTCCGTTGTCAGCCCTGCGCTTTAGTCAGAGAGCGTCGTTGTGCCAATTTGGTCGTGGCACATTTTGAGTATGAGAGAGTGATTGCAGTTGGATCAAAAGTGCCTGAGAAAAATGCAAGTACTTTTTGCGGATTACCCGAAGTTGCAGTAGTGAAGATAATATAACAGACAAGCAGATATAACACTTTCAAAATGTTCATCGAAATCGTTTTTAACGGTAAATTTAAATGTTTCTTAGTTGGTAGTACCACTAGTTGTGGCGCGCAGTATCAATTCCCTTGCGTTTGACGTTTACACACTGCAGTCATCTGTTGAGTGTATACGACAGATGGCGGTAGTGTTAACAAAGAGAAATGTGTTCAATGCGTTGTGTCTGTTTTTCTGTATTTATCATAAAACCAAAACATTGAGAAATATAACGCAACACTTTCAGAAATACTTCACTTCTCAACCGATGAACCATTCTGACGGCCATAGGAGTACCCAAGTAAACGTATATTCGCAATACAGCTTATCTAATCTAATCTAATCTAATCTAATCTAACATCAACACAGCCAGTTCTTGAAAGTATCCTGGACCAATACATTTTGTAGGAACTATCGTGTGTTGCCGTGAAAAAAAACACTTGGGACTAGTGGTTTTTCCCATACATCAAAATCTGCAAATCAAGCATCGCATTATACACCTGACCACATCCTTACAATCCCAGGGAATAGGAAGGAAAATTAGTCCAACATCTACTTAAGAAGGTGCAGGGAACCTTCATAGATGCCACGGGAGGGAACATTTGTGTTAGTAGGAAATGGAATATATTTAGGAATCTCTATTCGGCAATAGAAAGTAAAGATTATATGAAAATGTAAACAAAATTAAATGAATACAAAAAGAAAGATCTCACCAAAAGTATCTGCTATAAGCCTGTCTTTCCATATTTTCTAAGCTGTTCCATGCATAATCCTTACCAGTACTCTCCAGCACACGTTTTCATTTCACACTGAACGGGGTGGGCCAGTTACCTTCGATGGACAAGCTCAGCTGCGATTCCAGCCCCGGACATCGATGGTGATAAGGTTGCTGTGAGGTGGAACACGGTGTTGTGCTGAAGAATCCAGGGTTGTTCTGTCTTTCAAACACCAATTACGTAACTCGCGACCGGTTAATTAATTAACTACACTTTATTTTAGTGAACATGCAAACAATTTAATTTAAAACACTACATATATTCAGCACTACATATAAACTTAAATTAACACGAATTAAAATTCCTCCGTGGGTCTCCGCGCGTGCGATTCGGTGACTTGGTTGAGGTGGACTGGTCGCAGCTTCCGAAGATCGCCGTAGGTAGTCCGGTGCTTCGTTGATGCGATGATTTCCTCCGTCGATATCTGAGAGTGGGTGATATTCTCACCGCTCTTATCACTAGTCATCCTTATCACTCCTACAGCAATCGATGACGATGATGGTGATGATGACGATGATGATGGTTTCGCTCTCTCCAGAGTGAGTGTTCCTGCGTGTGCTGAGAAAACTGATTCGATCGTGCAGGGCTAGATCGACATATCGGTGTGTGGTTCTTGTGCTGCTTTGGTGCTAGTCGCGTGGGGATGCCATGGTTGTAGTCGGATGGGTCACACTCCTCGACATTCTCACCCACCCTGAAATTCGCTGAATTTCTGAAAGTAAAAAGCAGATCCTCTTCGACTGGATGGGATGGGGAAGGGAATGTGGTTCTATGTCGCTGAGGCTGTTTCGTTCGGCTTCGCTCTGTCATCTTCATCAGGAAGCGGCAGGATACAAAGCTTTTCGACCGGTCTTTTTAAAAAACCTGTGGCAGTTTTTAGGGTCACAACTCTGACCACACCGTCCTTACCAGGGTGGACTTCACAAATTCTTCCCATTTTCCATTTCGTGGGGGGTTGGTTATCGTCCTTTATGACTACCAACTTGCCTACATCGACTGGAACTGCTGGCTGCCATCGTTTAGTCCGAGCTTGAAGCTGGCAGAGGTATTCCCTGCGCCATCTCTTCCAAAAGTCTTGCAGTCTCCTTTGCGTTAGTTGTAGGGAATCCAGACGGTTAACTGGCAGCTCTGCTAAACTGGGTTCAGGGATCGACTGAAGGGATGAGCCGATCAGAAAATGTGCGGGTGTTAACGGCTCGAGGTCATTGGGGTCATCGGAAAGAGGCGTGAGAGGGCGGGAGTTGAGGCAAGCTTCGACTTGAGTTAGCAGCGTATTGAAGTCTTCCGGGGTTACTGGTGTATCGCCAATCACCCTCAGCAAGTGGTATTTAGTTGAGCGGACGGCTGCCTCCCACAAACCTCCGAAATGAGGAGCGCTCGGCGGAATAAAATGCCACTGAATACCATCCTTGGCGCATTCCTTGGATACAGTGTCATTATGGTCGTGGCTCTTCAACAGTTTTAGCAATTCTTGCAATTCGTTTCGCGCGCCGACGAAATTAGTGCCGTTGTCTGAGTAAATATCTGTACAAAGACCTCTCCGGGACACGAACCGTCGTAAAGCCTGTAGGAATCGGTCAGTTGATAAATCTGACACGAGTTCCAAATGTATGGCCTTTGTGCAGAGGCATATGAATATAGCAACATATGCTTTAACTGCAGTGCGTCGAGGACCAGGCCGTAGATAAACTGGACCAAAGTAATCAACGCCAGTGGAAGAAAAAGGACGGGATACGGTGACTCGTGCAGTTGGTAAATCACCCATTAATTGTTGAACGGTCAATGGTTTTGAGCGAACGCATTTCAGGCACTTATGAACGATGTTCCTGACGACGCTTCTTCCACCCAACGGCCAAAATCGAAGTCGAATTACGCTTAACATCAGCTGAGGTCCCGCATGAAGTAGACGCTCGTGGTAGTGTTGCAGCAATAACCGGGTGAAAGGATGTCGTGCTGGAAGAACGACGGGATGTTTAGTTTGTTCCGATTCCATAGAATGCTTCAGTCGTCCTCCTAGCTTGAGCAGTTGATCCTCGGAAAGAAACGGGTTAAACCAACGTAATGGTGAATCCCTCGGGACCATGTTTTCCTTTGTGAGAGCCTCCAATTCCTTGCCGAAGACTTCCTTCTGCACTAGACCTACCAATGTATTTTCTGACTCCGTCAGGTCGGCGGTGGAAAGGAAGGCTGTGTTATTCCGTTGGGAAGACGGTGTTCGAAGTAGCTTCATCAAACGAAGCCAGTATGCGGTGCGACGAACGAGATCGGAGTATGACGAAAATTTACGAATGTACTCATGGTTGAACTCTGCGAGTGTGGAAACGCATCCTGCGATAACCGTTCGACGTTTTTCTTCTTCAACCTCTCCTGTTGATTGTATCTCCGGTGATCTAGGCCATTGGTCTGAGTTCTCCTCCAGCCAGGTAGGTCCTCGCCACCAGAATTGGTTTTCCAGGATGTCTTGTGGAGGAATTCCCCGGGAAATCAAGTCTGCTGGATTTTGGGTCCCAGGAACATGAAACCATCGACCACCCTCAGTGATATTTTGGATTTTGGCCGCCCTGTTGGCGACGAAAGTGGTCCAGGTCATTGGGGGAGCCTCAATCCAACGTAAAACGCATGTAGAATCCGTCCAGAAATAGCAATCAGCATCAATCCTAATCGATTCTCGAACCTTGGCGAATAGTTGAGCTCCCAGAAGTGCTCCACAGAGCTCCAGTCTAGGAATACTCTGACATTTCAACGGAGCAACCTTTGATTTAGACGAAAGAAGTCGAACCTTCACCTCTCCGCCCGCATTAGTGCTCCGAAGATACAGACAGGCGCCATATGCCTTCTCCGAGGCGTCGGAGAAACAGTGAATTTCGACTGCTACTGTTTCTGGGATGAGAACACAGCGTTCGATGTGGAGTTGATTGAGAAGAGGTAGTTGCTCGTAGAATTTACGCCACGCCTCACCCACCGTTGGAGGTAGGGGGTGGTCCCAATCCAGTGTATGGCCATTCCCATCCAGTATCGTCCACAACCGCTGCATGAATATCTTCGCCATGGTGATAACTGGTCCCAAAAGCCCGAGAGGATCAAACAAGGTCGCAATCATCGATAATACGTTCCGTTTCGTAAGTAATTCACCGTTGGCCAAAGTGGGAATGGTAAACTGAAACCGCAGCATGTCCGTAGATGGAATCCAGGTCAACCCCAAGGTCTTTACGGCTGGATCTGGATCCAAATCAATTCCATCTGAAGGCCGAATAGCTAAGTTCTCTTCTGGAACCCCCGTTAGAGCAGCCGGGCAGTTTGAAGCCCATTTGCGTAGCTGAAAGCCACCAGCTGACATCATCTTATTCAATTGGATCTGCAGTTCCCTTGCTGTTTCCACATCATTCGCACCCGTGATTACGTCGTCCATATAGGTATCTTCAAGGACCGCTCTTGCCGCAAGAGGAAATGTCTTCTCCTCGTCCATCGCTAGCTGCTTGAGCGTTCTGGTGGCCAAAAACGGTGCCGATTTTGTGCCATACGTAACCGTGTTGAGCTCGTAGATCTTAATAACCTCCGTAGGTGAAAAACGCCAGAGAATGCATTGTAAGGCACGTTCCAGAAGGAAGATGAAGATTTGGCGGAACATTTTCTCTACGTCCGAGACAATCATGATCTGCCATGTCCGACTGCGAAGAATAATGGATCGAAGTTCCTCCTGAAGAACTGTCCCTGTCTTCAGAACGTCGTTGAGAGATACTCCGCTTGATGTCTTGCATGACGCATCAAAGACCACCCGTACCTTGGTAGTGGTGCTTGCCTCCTTGAGCACTGGGTGGTGCGGAAGATAGCACCGTTTTACCTCCAGTTCAGTTTCATCTACCTCCCGCATGTGGCCGAGCTTGACGTATTCCTCCATGAAAGCGTTGTATTGCTCACGGAGTGATGGATCCCTGGCAAGTCTGCGTTCCGTTCCTTGGAGACGCCGATATGCGATGTCCTTAGACTCGCCCAACCGTGAGATGGCATCTTCATCCTTCGGCAGTGAGACGGTGTACCGACCGTCCGAACCTCGTTGAACCGTGTTGACATAGTTATCTTCACACTGTTTTTCTTCCAGTGAGTGAACCTTGCCTGAATCAACCTCTTCGCAGGACCAGAAGCGGGAGATTAACTCATCCAGGCCAACTACTGATGAGACGTTGCAGTTGATATGCCGAGAGCGATTTGGTTCCAAAATCCCACCACTGATGACCCATCCAAACACGGACTCATTTAAGGATGGAAGGTTTGATCCTAGAGAGATTCTCCGTCCGGTTTCAAAGAAGTCGAAGAAGCATTCGATACCGAGCACGATATCCACTGCGTTCGATTCGAAGAACATAGGATCCGCCAGTTGAATCCCACTTGGAATAGTCCATGTATCCGTGTTGACGGTGGCAGTTGGAAGGTTCACCGTGACCCTTGGCAGGACTAGGTAGCCTAATTCACGAGAGAAGTCAGATACACGTGACCGCAATACCGCTTGAATCCCTTGCCGAACCTTTGTAGCTGCTTGACCTATCCCGGCTACCGAAATGTCCACCCGATTTCGCGTAACTTGTAACCGCTGACTCAATCGCTCCGTAATGAAGTTACTTTCGGACCCGGAGTCCAGTAGAGCACGAGCTGGATGACGATTGCCAACATCATCCTCGATAACCACAACTGCCGTTGCCAAAAGCACTTGGGTTGATTGTTGTTGAGCTGCAGCGGGTGCTGCAGTTTCCGTAGCTGCTACGGTAGCAACTTGTGTGGTTGATAAACCAGATGACCCTTGCTGATCCTCAGAATTGGACGACTTGTTACCCCCAGCAACTGTCGCAACCTTGGATCCCTTTTCCTTCGCCGGTTTGAAACATACAAGCGTGTGGTGACGTCCCTTGCAGTTCCTGCACGAGAATTTTGACTGGCAATCCTTAGCGTGATGTCCTGACCTTAAGCAGTTTCGACAGAGTCCATTTAATTTAACAAGACCATCCCTGTCCGAGACTGCCATCCCTTGAAATTTGTTGCACTGATGAAGAAGGTGATCCGATGAACAGGCAATGCAACGTCCCGTAGATGTTTGTGCACCGTAGTTGACCTTCATTGATTGAGCCTTCGGTTTCGGTTGTTGTTGCAATTGGCCGAGACCCCTAGTATCGACGGGCTTCGGTGGCAAGCTGTCCAAAACCTGGATTCTACGCTGAATGAATTCGCATAAATCCTCCAAAGTATCCTCCTTCTTTGTAGATGAGACCTCTTCCCACCCTCTACGCGTGACCGGGTCCAATCGAGCTGTAAGGATGTTCACCAGCAGAAGATCCTTATATTCAGCCGGTTGGATGACTTGGTCGAGAGTCTGCACAATACGTTCGAAGCCTTCAAACAGTATGTGCAAGTCAGCTCCGGATTCCTTCGAAAGCATGGGTAGCTTGAAGAGAGCTTGTACCTGCCGCTTCCTCAACTGTTTGCTGTTGTTGTAGCGTTTCAACAGCGTATCCCATGCCACCTGGTAATTGGCTGCCGTGATCGGGAGTGGGTCGATCAAGCCTTTGGGTTCCCCTTGAAGGCAGCCCTTCAGATAATGGAATTTTTCCACATCCGGTAGATCTGCCTTCCAATGGATTAGCGACGTGAATAAGTCGCGGAAGCTCAGCCACTCGTCGATGTCTCCACTGAATGTGTGCAGCTTGATCTGCGGTAGACGTACGTGCTCCATGGTAACTGCCGTTGTTCCCTCACCAGCTCGGAAGGACTGCTCCAGTACTTGGGGTTTCTGGAGCTCCTTGATCTTGTCCATTAGGAAAGACTTGATCTCGTAATAGCGATCGCTGAACTCGCTGCGTTCCTTCTCCAGTGAAATCTTCTCAGCCTTGAATTCGTCATGAGCGTAGATCTCCACCATGGTTGCACTAAAGCTCTCCCAAAGCTCGTCCAGTTTCTCAACACGTACCTCCACCTCGGTAATGTTATTAGATTCCGTAAACGCTTGAATGAATCGGTGGATGTCATTGAGCGACAGCTGTATCTGCTTCAACCTTGCCGTCAATGCTCGCATCGATGGTGTGGATGCGCCACCGGGTGCCATGTTGTCGTCGTTTCGGTAATGCGATCAGCAAAAAGAGAAAGGTGCGGTGTAGTATACTGCAAAAGCCTAGCTCCGCTAGGCATATACTATCTTAATTTACCCGGAGAAACAACTGATTGTGCTTCAAGTTCCAATGAAATCCTGCAGCCACGTGACGTCACACGTCCGGCTTCCGTTGGACGACAACTCAGCAACAATGGTGTGAATCAAGAGGAAAAGAGATGGTGTAGCAAACAGAGTGAAGACCTAGCTTCGCTAGGCATATACTGCTAAAGTTTTACCCGACAAAGCAGATGGTGATGCTCCAATTAAATCAATCAACTATGCAAGCAGCCTTGAACCCAATCGTCAGAAACCAGCAAGTACTCGAACGGAATGTGGATGAAGAGGAGAGACTGGGTGTAATATCCAACAAAATGGCTTCGGCCATGCATATACTGCGGCAACTCACCACATGAACCAATTACTGCACCAAACGTTCAATAAAATTCCTAGCGATACCAGCAAACGATCAATCCAATTCCGACGAAACCAAATCTCGAGAACGGGGTGCCAAAAGGGCAATCAGGGCTCAGCGATTAGAAATGTAGAACGAAGAGGGTTGATTCCAATTTAAAACAGTGTATTTACATGCGCCTAGCTTCGGCAGTACACTAATGTGTGTTTACCTGGCAAATAATTGCGCTGCTCCCAGTCTGCGTCGAATGCGAAGTTCATCGGCCCTTGCACCGGTCGTTGACTCTGAAGACGGTTGTTCACTGGTCGTAGTGGCGGTCGATGACCTCAATCGACGAAGTTGATGACCTCTGATGACCTCTGTTAGGATTGTATGCCAAACCACTGGCTTTCGAATCCGAACTTGATAACTTCCGCCCGTGTCCTCAGCGTGGTTGGCGAAGGATTAGATAGAAGAAACGTCGAATGGTTGGCGTTAGTTTCAGGCAATCTAACAACGACTGGACATATACTGAATTTAAATAATTTACCTGGATATCCAGAGCAGGAGCTGATTCAGTAGTCCTAGATGGGATGGTGATGAGCGTGTTGAACCAGAGCGTCCAAGCAATTTCCTAAGTGAGTCCAACTCAGCCGTTGAGCGTTTCCAGCATGCAGCCGTGATCGATCAATGTCCACGATCAATCCTCAATCCAATGAGATGAGTCCAATGGAAGAATGCTTCGATTGTCCGTAAATGCTATGGATGCCGCTTGATTGTTGTCGAAGAAGGCAATAATGGAAGGGCGCGCGATGGCGACGAATAGTCCACAATAGATCAGCCTATTACGAATCCGAACCTCGTTTCGAACAATCCATTCAACGGAAAACCAGGTGTTAGAAGGTTGTATTTCCCAGCTCGGCTGGACATATATCGTGCACGCACGGGTTCACTAACCTGACCAAACTTCGTTGGGTTGAATTCGAAGCCAACCGAAAACCAGTAGCGATGGCGGTGTGACGCCAAATCCAAAGCGTGCAAGTGTCGTCAATAGAGCAAACCTTCAGCAGAATGGCGCTGGCGATGGCGATCCAATTGCTATTCCAGCTATGACCGAGTGTAGTGTCGCGAAGTTTCCGTACAGTCCACAGTCTGTCCTGACCCGCCTCCGGCTCGAAGGACCAAAATGAACGGGGTGGGCCAGTTACCTTCGATGGACAAGCTCAGCTGCGATTCCAGCCCCGGACATCGATGGTGATAAGGTTGCTGTGAGGTGGAACACGGTGTTGTGCTGAAGAATCCAGGGTTGTTCTGTCTTTCAAACACCAATTACGTAACTCGCGACCGGTTAATTAATTAACTACACTTTATTTTAGTGAACATGCAAACAATTTAATTTAAAACACTACATATATTCAGCACTACATATAAACTTAAATTAACACGAATTAAAATTCCTCCGTGGGTCTCCGCGCGTGCGATTCGGTGACTTGGTTGAGGTGGACTGGTCGCAGCTTCCGAAGATCGCCGTAGGTAGTCCGGTGCTTCGTTGATGCGATGATTTCCTCCGTCGATATCTGAGAGTGGGTGATATTCTCACCGCTCTTATCACTAGTCATCCTTATCACTCCTACAGCAATCGATGACGATGATGGTGATGATGACGATGATGATGGTTTCGCTCTCTCCAGAGTGAGTGTTCCTGCGTGTGCTGAGAAAACTGATTCGATCGTGCAGGGCTAGATCGACATATCGGTGTGTGGTTCTTGTGCTGCTTTGGTGCTAGTCGCGTGGGGATGCCATGGTTGTAGTCGGATGGGTCACACTCCTCGACACACACCGAAGCATTGAAACCATTCACCACTCTTTCACCTGCCGTTACTGTATTGGAAGCAAACCGCAGGATTCACAGCAGAATGCGCAGACCCTCCAGTGCTTGGAGTACATCTGATCACCAACACCATCGTAGAACGATTAGAAAACCCAACACCTCCGACGCAGACATCGATCGCTTCACTATGCCACAAACTTCTGGACCGGGATCACACGTGAAGAAAATAAAACAATTACGCAGATAGCGACATCTCTTCTGATGCTTGCAAACACGATTAATCACGTTTCCTTCTCGATTCGAAAACTTCCCAGAAAGCGAGAAACCACCACAATCACACACATATAACCGTCCGGGAGGCAGAGTGCCAGCGCTAATCAATCAAATGCAGCCGAAAACGATCGAAGCGAACGCACGCACAAAACAGAGAGCAAACTTAAAACAGAACCGTATCCGACGGGTTTCGAAACTCCAGGGTATAATTCGACAGTGAGCATGCATAAAGGCGTCGATTTTCTCTTTTGCTACTAGCTCGGTTAAATTTACGTTTCTCTGTGCGGTTGCTGTTGCATTTGGTAGCCAATACAACCTGTTACAGCACTACATTGAACAAATTCCACGCCCGTATGCATGCCTACTGTTGAATTGTACTTGCCACACAATTATACTGATGCAAAAATGGTACCGACATCGAAGGCTCTCAATTGAGGGAGTTAGAAGGAAAGGGTTGTAAGTGACTGTAAGCGATTCTCTTCATCGACTTTCTCTTTTGATATCCACAGCTTTATAAACAGATTTGGCGCTTTTTCTGCCACATAGTTTGATAAAGAAGGTTCTCATCTAGCATCCAGAAAGGCACACGAATCAAGGAATGTGTTTGCAGCTGAATTATTAACGAAAGAGAAAGTCGATGAAGAGAATCGATCAAAGTCACTTACACTCCTTTCCTTCTAACCCCCTCAATTAATAGCTGTGGAAGTGCTAATAGCGAATTTGTTTATTATTTCCAACCCCGATAGTAAAAGAATTCGCTTTAAGTTGAGAGCAAGTATAAGCTAATAAGCTATAAGCTTGAAATGCGAAGAAGAAGAAGAAGACATATGGTAAAAATAAATACCCTATAAGGCTCGAAGATTGCACACAATTGAGAAATTTTGTTCCACAATTTAAATAAAGTAGTAATCATAAGATCGAAACATTAAAAATTTGTAGGAGTCTCAGAATTATTAAATTTGTCCTGATTACATGCAATTTTTTCGAAGTTCGGGTGGATCAAGGGATGATAAATTGAACTTGCACATTTATTATGAAAAACAAAACAAAAATCCATGGAAAATAGATTGAAATCTCGAACTTAAAACTCTTATGATATCCTAGAAATTATTCTATAGAAATCCAGGTAATTTTCAGAAATAAAAAAAATAAGAAGCTTTGAAGCAATTAAAAAAGAAACAATAGAGATAAATTCCTCTTCTTGCATACAATATTGCTAATTTATGCGATATTGCGCTTAAGTTTACACGAAATATCACATAAATTTATGCCAAATCTAGCGTTAATTTTATGTGCGCTATATCTCGCAGAAATGTACATTTATTTTTTCGAACGGTGTACCGTATGTTCCGATTTTGGTAATTATATGGTTGGTCGGTCGTTGGAAGCATCAAAGCTAGAAAGGTAAAGTGATGCTCCATTTTCTTCTGACGGGTGGGGCATGAGCACTAACTCTTGTCCCGGCCTTTTATGACTTATGGCTATAGCGCCATTACTCGCTTTCTGAAAAGAGAAGAGGGAAAGGAAAAGGAGAAGGACAGAGGGAAAAGGATTATGTGAAATCTATCATTTCGTGAATTGAAGGTGGGCTCTTCTCCCCACTCATTGGGACATCCCGTCGTATGATAGCTTGTTCTGTAACGGGTTGGAACATTTTTAACGTTGGAAGGTGATTCTCCTCGCTCCCGAGGATCACGCGTAAGTGTCTCTGCTTACGGGTCCACCCTCTGTTTTTGGCCCTTCATACAATGGTAAATTGAATACAACCAGGTGTCGTCCTTGACCAAGTCATACGAGGTGGACAGTCCACTGTCTAATGACTGTGCCCTGCAACAATGAGTGGTATCCTTAACATACAAACTGGACTCCGTTGTCATTGTACCATTGTTGTACTTCTTGTAATTTTGCGCGCCGTCATGGAAAATCCGACTGCGACCATGAGATGGATCGGAAGACAATTGGGAATCACCCATACAACTGTGTCTCGGGTGGTAAAATCGTTTAAGGAGCCCCAGACGACCGAGCGGCGGGCTGGAAGTGGAAGAAAATCGAAGACAACTGACCCTGTGAAGACCCGGAAGATGTTGGATTATTTCAAGCGTAATCCGAACCTTTCGACTTGCGACGCGGCTCTGAAGGCAAAGTGTTCCGCCTGGTTCGTTCAACAAACCATGAAACGAGCTGGGCTTCGTGTATTCTAGGTCCGGAAGGCACCCAACCGGCGTGATCAACAAAACACGGCGGCCAAATCCCGCGCAAGGAAGCTGTATCGAGAGTGGTTAACGAAACCGATGTGTGTGGTTATGGATGACGAAACCTACATCAAGGCAGACGCAAAGCAGATACCGGGGCTGGAGTTCTACGTTGCCAAATCACGGTTTGATGTTCCGGAAGACATAAGGAAGAAGAAAGTGGACAAATTCGCCAAAAAATACTTGCTCTGGGAGGCCATATGCCAAT